CTAGATTAGATAGTAGTTAAAAACTATCAGATATCTAAAGAAATGCTATATACCAATGTTATAAAACTTTTTCTTTTAAGTTTTAAAGCACATACTGACAAATAAAAAGTTATATATCTATTAAAATCTAGCAAATATCATTTAATTTTCAACAAATGCAATCGAAGTAAAGAGAAAAAATCATTTTATTACAACTTTCTTTGGTTACTTCACGTATAGATTTCAATTATTTTTAAATGAAACTCGACTGTAGTTAACCTGACATCCATCTTTTTTGTTACTAGTAGCCAATTTTAGCCGCCGCTTAGAATGTTTTATTATATTTATAAAGAAATGTTCGCTACTTTCTGGATTTATTTGTTGGTAAAAACTATAAAAATTCTAAAAAAGTGCTATATAACCAAAGCTATAAAACGTTTTCTTTCAATTTTCAAAGCGTATACTTACAAATAAAAAGTGTTATGTCGAATAAAATCTAGCAAATATCATTTACTTTCAAAAACTGCAGTCGAAGAAAAATGAAAAAACCATTTTTTTACAATTTGTTTTGGTTACTTCACGTGTAGAATTCAATCATTTTTCAAAAAATTTCGATTTTAGTCAACCAAACATCTATTCAGTTTAATTTCTAACAGCACATTTTTACCATTGCTTAAAAATTTTTATTAAATTTAAATTAAAATTTTTGCTCCTTTCTAGATTAAATCGTAGTTAAAAATTATAAAAAAACTAAAACAGTTCTATTTATCAGAATCTATGAAACGTTTTTTTTAAGCTTTTAAGCGTATACTTACAAATAAGAAGTTTTAAGTCCAAAAAAATTTAGAAATACTTCATTTATATTTGGACTACTGCAGTAAAAAAAAAGGAAACAAATCATTTTACTAAAACTTTTTTTTGGTAACTTAACGTGTATAATTTAATTCTCTTTTGACGTAACTCGATTGTAGTCAACCTAACATCCATTCTGTCTTGTTTCCTATAGCAAATTTTACCGTCGCTAAAAATTTTTCAATATATTAAAGAGAAATTTTTGCTGCTTTCTCCATTAAATAATAGTTGAAATGTATCAGATAGCTAAAGAAGTTCTATTTAACAGAAGCTATAAAACTTTTTCTTTCAAGTTTTAAAGCGTATACTGACAAATAAAAAGTGTTATGTCCAATAAAATCCAGCAGATATCATTGACATTATAAGAACTGCAGTCCAAGAGAAGAGAAAAAATCATTTGTTTACAACTTTTTTGGGTAACTTTACGTGTAGAATTCAATACTTTTTCGACAAAATTCGATAGTAGTCAACCTAACATCTATTCTGTTTAATTTCTAATAGCACATTTTTACCATTGCTAAAAATTTATTAGTATATTTAAAAGAAATTTTTGCTATTTTGTGAATAAAAGCAAAGGTAAAAACTGTACAATTTATATAAAAGTGCTATTTATCAGAAGCTATGAAACGTTTCCTCTCAAGTTTTAAAGCGTATACTAACAAATAGAAAGTGTTATGTCTAATAAAATCTAGCAAATATCATTTACACTTCAATAACTGCAGTCGAAGAAAAGAGAAAAAATCATTTTAATACAAGTTTTTTTGTTTTCTTTAGGTGTATAGTTCCATTATTTTTTAACAAAATTCGATTTTAGTCAACCAAACATCTATTCTCTTTAGTTCCTAATAGCAAATTTTTACCTTTGCTAAAAATATTTTAGTATATTTAAAACGAAATTTTTGCTACTTCCTGGATGAAATCGTTGGTAAAAATTATAAAAAATCTAAAATAGTGCTATTTAACAAAAGCTATAAAACGTTTTCTTTAAAGCTTTAAAGAAAGCAAAAAACACTTACAAAAAAAAGTGTTAAGTCCGAAAATATTTAGTATAAATTATTTATATTTGGACTGCTGCAGTTAAAAAAAAGAGAAAAAATCATTTCATTACGACTTTTTTTGGTTACTTTACGTGTAGAATTCAATTCTCTTTCGACGAAACTCGATCGTAGTAAACCTGACATCCATTCTGTCTTGTTTCTAATAGCACATTTTTACCGTAACTAACAATTTTTCAATATATTTAAGAAAAGTTTTTCTGCTTTATAGATTAAATAATTGTTAAAAAATATTAAATATACAAAAAGTGTTTCTTATCAGAATCTATGAAACGTTTTCTTTCAAGCTTTAAAGCGTATACTCACAAATAAAATGTGTTAAGTCCAAAAAAACTTGGCAAATATTATTTAAATTTGGACAACTGCAGTCAAAAAAAAGGGAAAGAATCATTTTATTACGACTTTTTTTGGTAACTCTGCTTGAAGAGCTCATTTCTTTTTTAACAAAACTCGATTGTAGTAGACCTGGCATTCATTCTGTCCTTTATCTAGTAGCACATTTTCTCCGTCGCTAAGAATGTTTTAGTATATTAAGAAAAAAATTTTTGCTACTTTTTAAATTAAATCGCTGTTAAAAACTATAAAATTTCTAAAATAGCGGTATATAACAAAAGCTGTAAAACGTTTTCATTTATGTTTTAAAGCGTATACTAACAAATAAAAAGGGGTATGTCTAATAAAATCTAGCAAATATCATTTACTTTTTAACAATTGCAGTCGAAGAAAAGAGAAAAAATCATTTTATTACAATTTTTTTTGGTTACTTAACGTAAAGAATTTAATTATTCTTTGACAATATTCAATTGTAGTGAACCAAAAATCTATTCTCTTTAGTTTCTAATGTCACAATTTTACCTTCGCTAAAAAATTTATAATATATTTAAATAAAATTTTTGCTACATTGTAAATTAAATCGTAGTTAAAAATTATAAAAAATCTAAAAAAGTGTTATTTAACAGAATCTATGAAACGTTTTCTTTCAAGCTTTAAAGCGTATACATACAAATAAAAAGTTTTAAGTCCATAAAAATTTGGCAAACATCATTTTTATTCGGAGTACTGCAGTCAAAAAAAGTAAAAGTTATTTAACTACGACATTTTTTGGCTACTTTACGTGTAGAATTCAATTTTTTTCGACAAATTTCGATTGTAGTCAACCTAACATATATTCTGTTTAGTTTCTAATATCACATTTTTACATTCGTTAAAAATTTTTTAATATATTTAAAAGAAATTTTCGCTACTTCGTAAAATAGATCGTAGTTAAAAACTTTAAAATTTCTATAAAAGTTCTATTTAACAGAAGCTATGAAACGTTTTCTTTAAAGCTTTAAAACGTATACTTACAAATAAATAGTGTTCAGTCGGAAAATTTAAACAAACATCATTTATATTTCGACTACTGCAGTCAAAAAAAAGAGAAAAAATTATTTTAGTTCAACTTTTTTTGGTCACTTTACGTGAAGAATTGAAACATTGCACCCACGCGTGTAGCAGCGTGTCCAAGCCTATGGCAAAAAATTTTGACCATGGAACATTCCTATCCAATAAATTAAGTAATAACGGAAATCGATACGAAATTTAAACACGAGATATCACCTAAATTGATCAACCGCTGAAGGAAACAAAGCAATACTCCCACCTTGCTAATACAAATGGAGAAAAATCATAATAGACGATAGAGACTTGCGTATAGACAGCGAGATGGATACGGACACAGAAGACGTGCAAAAATAGATTCCCGCCAAATCAACAAAGTTAAAAAATTTTAAAGAACGCAAAATAAGTGAACTAACTAACAACAACATCGACTCTTCCGCACCAACACCAACTAAATGCCTTCAGGAGATACCAATAAGCAACTCGTTCAATCTACTTAAAGATTCAACAGAAACGCAAAATAATACTAAAAAACAGGTAGAAACAAAAGCAGTAAAACCACCACCGATATACATTGAAGCAGAAGTTATCGACCCTCTGCTCGAGCTACTGGACGAAACAGCTGGGCGAAATAATTATATAATTAAACAACTTAAAGAAAACCAAGTAAAAGTACAAACCTCAACACCAGACATGTTCAGAGAAGTAATAAATGCATTTAAAAACGTGGGTACCATACGTATAAAGAGAAATACGAGAAGAGTTACAAAATCGTTATTCGAGGACTTCATCCAAAGTCAAATACGGTCAAGATAATAAATGAATTAGGCAAACTAGGCCACAAAGTAAGATCAATCAACAACATAATAAAATTTGATACTAAACAGCCGCTACCTTTATTTTTTATCGAACTGGCCCCTCAGGACAATAACAAAAATATATACGATATTGATAACCTGTTAAATACGATAATTAAAATCGAACCACCTAAAACTAAAAGAATATACCACAGTGCACACGATGCTAAGCGTATGGTCACACAAAAAATTACTGCAACAAATATCCTGCCTGTGTCAAATGTGCACAAAAACATTTAACGACACACTGTCCTCAAGTAGGAAAAGTAGAAAAAGTCATATGCGTAAACTGCAACGGTAATCATCCAGCGAATTATAAAGGATGTCAAACGAAGAAACTACTACAACAAAAACTGTTTCCCACGCTAAGAAAAAAAGTAATGGAAAAACCTATTTTAGACGAAGCCTACAAGGACAATCATTTTAATAAACAAAACGTAAATGCCAACACCGATAATATACCAGTATTTGAACACAACAAACCAATAAGAAGCTACGCTGATGTTACCAAACGAACATGTATGAATACTAAAGACATAAACTCTGACATAAACACTGAAGAGACATCGGACTTAAAAGAACTATTAAAGCAATCAATCAAGAATACCGAAATTATAACGACAATGATAATAGAGCAAAATTCTCTACTAAAACAACAAACGCAACAAATAACAGCAATGTTACAACTGTTAACAAAAACGCTTTTTAATAACAAATAATAGATAAAGAAATAAAAATAGCGGTTTGGAACAGCAATGGATTACAACGACGAATCCAAGAAACGAAAGCATTCATATACACGCACAACATAGACATCCTACTCGTATCGGAAACTCATCTCACAGACAAAAACTATATAAATATTCCATACTACACCATGTATGACACAAAACATCCTTCAGGAAAAGCGCATGGCGGAACGGCAATAATTATTTATAACGAAATAAAAAACAATCTACACAACAAAAAAGCTCACCTTCAAGCAACCACAATTACCTTAAAAACACAGTATAATTCAATTAAGCTCTCAGCTAATTATGCACCACCAAGATACAAAATTACAAACGATCAATGGAACAACTTCTTTAAGGAATTAGGTTATAAATTTATAGTAGCTGGGCACTTCAACGCCAAGCATCCAAATTCGGGATCAAAAACCACTTCACCACTAGGTAAAACCTTAGACTCATACTTAACCAACGCAAACCTGGACATCCTTACGACAGGCGAACCAACCTACTGGCCCTCAGCTTATAGTAAAACTCCCGACTTATTAGATTTCGGCGTTCTAAAAGGCTTTAACCTAACCCACTTTAAAATTGAATCATCTCTCGAACTCAGCTCTGACCATTCACTTATAATAATTACATACCAAAAAGAACCTATCCTATATAAAAAAAATCACCCACTCTGTGCAATAGTAGTACAAACTGGATGAACTTCAAACAAACTTTAGAATCCAAATTAAACTGTAATATTCCGCTCAAGACCCTGTTACAAATAGAAAATGCAACCAATAATTTAACAGATGCTATACAAGAAGCAGCATGGGCATCCACAAATCAAAACTTTTTAACAAAAAAAATTCTGACGTATCCTAGCATTATTTTGCAAAAAATAAAAGTAAAAAGGCAAGTAAAAGCTACGTGGCAAAAATATAAAACAAGGAATAATAAAAGACTAATAAACAAGGTAACAAAAGATGTAAAGAATAGCATACAKGATTTTAACAATGCTGAATTCGAAAGATACCTGACATCACTTTCACCTCACGAAGATACCAATTACTCTCTTTGGAAAACAACAAAAAGATTCAAAAGACCAGTAAAATCTATACCAGCCATACGAAATCTTAATGGCTCATGGGCGAAAAGCACAGAAGAACAAGCGGAAACCTTTGCAACTAACCTAGAAAACACATTCACAGCACACAACTTCAATACACAAGCATATGCAGATACTAACGCAAACGACCTCGGAAGCAAAACAAAATCTGATGAAAACAATAATACCACAACAGCCAAAGAAATTGAAATGCTAATATCAGAAATCAAAATAAGAAAAGCTCCAGGTTACGATCTAATAAATGGCAAAATACTAAAGGAACTACCACCTAAAGCAATTAGGATGCTCACAATATTATTTAACGCTGTAATACGAGTCCAGTACTTCCCAAGTACACGGAAACTCGCGAAAATTATAATGCTTCCTAAACCAAATAAAGATCCGCATGATGCCAATTCTTATAGACCAATATCGCTCTTACAATTACTATCCAAACTGCTGGAAAAAATAATATACAAGAGAATGAAAAAAATAATTTCTGACAAAAACCTGATTCCTGAACATCAATTCGGTTTCAGAAATAAACAATCTACCGTTGAACAAGTACACAGATTAACTAATACGATAGTAACAGCTTTAGAAAATAAGGAGTACTGTTCTGTTGTCTTCATAGATGTAGAAAAAGCTTTTGATAAGGTATRGCATTAAGGAATACTGCAAACAATCAATAAACTATTTCCATACTCGTACTACAAACTTCTAAAATCTTACCTTTCTGAAAGAACATTTTACGTAAAAATAAAAGACACTCATTCAAACATCAAATTTATCAATGCTGGGTATCCGCAGGGAAGTGTCCTTAGACCAATTCTTTACATTCTCTATACGGCAGAACTACCAATCAACGCTAACTGTACAGTTTTAACATTTACAGACGACACAGCAATGCTCACCGTAAACAAAGATCCACAACGAGCAATTCAACTATTACAAAAACAAATCAACTCTCTTGAAGAATGGTTAAGCAATAAGAATATCAAAGTAAACACTACCAAGTGCAAACACATTACGTTTACACTGAGAAAAGGCAAAACACCGAATCTACAACTATACCGTAATAAAGTTTAACAAGTATCAACGGTCAAATATTTAGGACTACATTAGGATTCCAAACTAAAATGGAAAAAACATATAAATTGCAAAATCGTACAAATTTGTTTAAAAAGGAGACAAATGGCCTAGCTAACTGGCAAAAAATCGAAACTTAGCATACAGAACAAATTACTAATTTTTAAAATAATAATAAAACCAATCTGGACATATGGAATACTGTTAGATACAAAAAGAGAATTGATACACACACAAACAAACTAGCAAAAGATAACTACAACCAATATATTCCTAGAAGGCTTAAAAGAATCCACCCAGGAGACCTTGTAAAAACGAAAACAAAATGAAATAAAAATAATAGCGACGATATATCATGGAAAGACCGTCCACGTGCTACCTTTTTTCCTTATGTAACAATTTACCAAATGTCTTGGGACAAATTGTAAAGATGTATGGATTAATTAAAAAAAAAAAATTCTTTATCAACGACACTCGATGGTAGAAAACTACCAGAAACATCCATTCTGTTTAGTTTCTGGTAGCCTATTTTTACCGTCTCTAAAAATTTTTCAATATATGTAAAAAGAAGTTTTCGCTACTTTCTGAATTAAATCGTAGTTTAAAACTATAAAATTTCTATAAAAGTGCTATTTAACAGAAGCTAATAAACGTTTTCTTTCAAGCTTTAAAGCGTATACTTACAAATGAAAATTGTTAAGTCCAAAATATTTAGCAAACATCATTAATATTTTAACAACTCCAGTCCAATAAAAAAGAAAAAATCATTTTATTACAACTTTATTTAGTTACTTCACGTATAGAATTCAATTCTGTTTCGACAAAAATCGATTTTAGTCAATCTAACATCTATTCTGTTTAGCTTTAAATAACACATTTTTACCTTCGCTAAATATTATTTATTATATTTAAAAGAAATGTTCCTTACTTTGTAAATAAAATCGTTGTTTAAGAGTATGAAATTTCTAAAAAAGTGCTATTTTACAGAAGCTATGAAACGTTTTCTTTTGAGTTTTAAAGAGTGTACTAGCAAATCAATAATGTTCAGTTCGAAATATTTAGCAAACATCACTTATATTTCAACAACTTTAGTTCAAAAAAGGGAAAAAATCGTTTTATTAAAATTTTTTTTAGTTACTTCACGTGCAGAATTCAATTCTTTTTTGACAAAATTCGATTGTAGTCATCCTAACATCTATTCTGTTTAGTTTTAAATATCACATTTTTACCATTGCTTAAATTTTTTTATATATTTAAAAGAAATTCTCGATACATTTAGGAATAAATCTTAGTTAAAAACTATAAGATTTCTAAAGAAGTGCTCAATAACAAAATCTTTAAAACGTCTTCTTTCAAGTTTTTAAAGCGTATAATAACAAATAAAAAGATTTATGTCCAATAAAATCTAGCAAATATTTTTTATATTTCTAAAACTTTAGTCCCAATAAAAAAATCATGTAATTAAAATTTTTTTTGGTTACTTTACGTGTAGAATTTATTTCTTTTTCATCAAAACTCGATTATAGTTGTTGATGCGACCGATGCCTTAATCGGTACTCAAAGGTGATAGTAGTGAATCGAAAAATGCCCTTACGGGTGATATCGAGATTSTTTATTWATGGGAAGRAGGATAGGAAAATAAAACACAATAACAAATATATTTGAGCCCAGTCAGTACTAAAAAGTACGCTTTATTTGGCTCGTCAGGGAAAAGCCTTTCGGCATAAAAACCCTGGTTGAAACGTTGACGAAAAATCCGTACAAATCAGGATAATTCTGGCTAAGTACAGGACCGCCTTTTTCCCTTGTCGCTGGCCAAACTTAGATGATGTAGTATTGCGCAATAAAAATAATTCTCCTTGAAGTAGTTTCTCGCAAGTCTCAGCTTTCTAAGATAGATGAATCTCGAGCGATGAATCACGCGTGATGAACCAAGAGTGCCCAAATGATGAATGCCCAGAGGCGCAAGAACGCGCTGGGTTTTATACCAACAAACGATGCAATGCTGCACCAATCACCGAAAAGCCCGAGCATAACRCKGCTGTCRATACATGTGATTGGCATAATAAATGTGGTGGGAGAACTCAAGCTAGAAGAAAGAAGGGGCCATTACAAGCATCTTAGCGCTACCGTTGCTACTACCAAAAACAAAGACACTGCTTTGTCGAGCGTGTCTCACGTCTCGGCAGGGCCGTGCACGCCCCGGCGCCTCGCCCTACTCACTCGTTGCATAGGATACGCAATCATAGTCAACCTAAAATCTACCCTGTTTAGTTTGTAATAGCACATTTTTAACGTCGTTAGAAATTTTTTTATATGTTTAAAAGAAATTGTCGCTACCTTGTGTATTAAATCGTAGTTAAAAACTATAAAATTGCTATAAAGGTGCTATATAACAATAGCTTTAAAAAGTTTTCTTTCCAGCTTTAAAGCGTATACTTACAAATAAAAAGTAGTAAGTCCAAAAAAATTTAGCAAACATTATTTATATTTTAACAACTCCAGTCCAAAAGAAGAGAAAAAATCATTCTATTTTAAGTGTTTTTGGTTACTTTACGTGAAGAATTTAATTCTTTTTCAACGAAATTTGATTGTAATAAGCCTGATATCCATTCTGTTTAGTTTATAGTAGCCCATTTTTACTGTCGCTAAAAATATTGTAATATATCTAAAAAGAAATTTTCGCTACTTTCTGGATAAGATTGTTGTAAAAACCTATAAAATTTCTAAAAAAGAGCTATTTTACAGAAACTATGAAACGTTTTCTTTTGAACTTTAAAGCGTATACTTACAAATAAAAAGTTTTTACACAAAAAAGTTTTAGCAAACATTATGTAAATTTCGACCACTGCAGTCAAAAAAAGAGAAAAAATCATTTTACTAACACTTTTTTCGGTTCCATTACGTGTAGAATTCTACTCTTTTTCGAAGAAATTCGATTGTATTCAACCTGACGTCCATTCTGTTTAGTTTCACATATCAAACGTTTACCGTCGCTGAATATGTTTAAATATATTTAAAAGAAAATTCGCTACTTTTTGGATTAGATCGTTGTTAAAAACTACAAAATTTCTGAAAAAAGTGCTGCTTACGAGAAGCTATGAAACGTTTTCTTTCAAGCTTTAAAGCGTATACATAAAAATAAAAAGTGTAAAGTCTCAAAAATTAAGCAAACACCATTTATATTTCGACAAACGCAGTCAAAAAAAGGAAAAAAATCATTTGATTACTACTTTTTTTGGTTACTTTGCGTGTAGAATTCAATAGTTTTCCGACAAAATTCGATTGCAGTCAACCTGACATCTATTCTTTTCAGTTTCTAATAGCACATTTATATCGTCGCTAAAAATTGGTCAATATATTTTAAAGAAATTTTTACTGTGTTCTAGATTGAATAGTAGTAGAATACTATCAAATTTCTAATGAAGTTCTATTTAACAAAAGCTATGAATCGTTTTCTTTCAAGCTTTGAAGCGTATAGTTCCATATAAAAAGTGTTAGGTCTAATAAAATTTAGCAATTATCATTTATATTTAGACCCCTGCATTCAAAAAAAGAGAAAAAATTATTTTATTACAACTTTATTTGGTTACTTTATGTTCAGCGATATTTATGTTGTTAGAATGGTTTATATTGCGCGCGGAATAGGATAGACGGCGTAGGCGTTAATTAGGTTGCGAGGGCGCGCAAGGGCTGTCAAAATGCATGCGGGCGCGCCTTATCGTGCAAGAGGCATGAGAAAGAGCCTTGAGGTGTGTGGAGGGGATAGGATGCGTGAGGCTTTGTGCACCCACCTCAGTCTCACTCTAGCATTTATTCTGGTTTGAGCAAAAAGCAGTGTGTTTCCCATTTGAGCTTCTCGCCATCTTGTTCTTGTTCTAGGCAACGTAGCTAGAGCGTGTGAAAGTGAGTGAGGAGTTTGTGAAGTTGTCTGGTGTCTTGTCACTAACAGCATTGTAGTCGGACAGTTGTAGCAAAATACCTGCAACCTGTCGCCAGGCTACCAACGTGGGATTGTAGTCGGNTGTCGCCAGGCTACCAACGTGGGATTGTAGTCGGACAGTAGTAGCGAAATACCTGCAACCTGTCGCCAGGCTACCAACGTGGGATTGTAGTCGGAAAGTTGTAGCAAAATACCTGCAACCTGTCGCCAGGCTACCAACGGGGGATTGTAGTCGGACAGTTGTAGCGAAATACCTGCAACCTGTCGCCAGACTACCAACGTGGGATAAGGTGATGGCCAGACACGCCATCGTTAGGTAGCGTGCGTTCGGTTGTCGCCTTGCGTCGGAAGCGAATGGTAAGAGAGCTCTCTAGCGTGCGACCAAAAGGTACTTCGCGTCGTTATTTTAATAATCTTTTTTTTCAGCCTTTTGTTTGTCATTGTTCGTTATACCAGTTTTAATAAATAAACTGTTCTTCTGCACCGGCTTTTGTCTCAATTCCGTTAGAGTTTTTATGCCGAGGCAAGTAGCTTTGTGCCGCGTAAAAGTGTTGTGTTCATTTATCTATCCTGTCCTATCTCACTCATTCCAGCGTTAAGCTTTTTAGTGGAACTCATTGGGAGATATTCGACAATTTTTTGGTCACCTATATAAATGCTAGAGACAATTTTTAAAAGTGGATACGCATAATAAGCGTATGCACAAATGATTGAATCTACTTATCTCCTATTCCGAATCCTTTGTGAAAACTAGCTCGACTGGGTGGCGAGAGTGTTCAGGAAGTAGATGTTCTCAACCTCGTTGTTCTTGAATCCGTTGTTCTCAATCTACTGCTACCAGATACGCAGATTCGCTCAAATCAGAGATCAGAAATTCAGACCTCACAGGAGGCACCAAAATGTATTTGCCACAAATTCCTCCAACGTGGAGTCTTCCAGCGATTGAATTCAGGTTATTGTTAGGAAGGTAAAAGGGTATTTAGAACAAAATAAAACACGTGGTTAAGCCAATAAAAATGCTAATGCTTTATTAGCTCATCAGGGAAAAGCCTTACGG